TCTATATATCTTTTCTATTTAGCTATCTTATTCGTCTCTCTCTCTCTCTCTTTCTCTTTTTCTCTCTCTTTCTTCTCTCTCTCTCTCTCTCTTCTCTCTCTCTCTCTCTCTCTCTTCTCTCTCTCTCTCTCTCTCTCTCTCTCTCTCTCTCTCTCTCTCTCTCTCTCTCTCTCTCTATATATTATATATTATTATATATATATATATATATATATATATATATATATATATATGTATAGTATGTATAATATATATAATATATATATATATATATATATATATAATATATATATATATATAATATATAACATATATATATATATATATATATATATATATATATATATATATAACATATATAATATATACATTATATGTATGTATATATATGTACATAGTATATAAGTATATATATACATATACATACATACATATTATATATATATATATAATATATATATATATATATATATATATATATATATATATATAATATATATATATATATACCATTTATATATGTATGTATTATATATGTACATAGCATATAATATACATATATACATGCATATATATATATATATATATATATATATATATATATATATATATATATATATATATTGATATATAGATAGATAGATAGATAGATAGATAGATAGATAGAAGATAGATAGATACATAGATGGATGTATATATGTACATATATCTAATGTATATATATATAAATATACATAAATATATATATACATATATATATATATATTATATATATATATATATATATATATATATATAATATACATAATGTATATATATATATATATATATATATATATATATATATATATATATATATATGCAACAGGCATGTGTATGTCATAAAATAAATAAAATAAAAAAAAACCAAATCACACTTTCTCCCTTCCACCCTTCCATTCCTTCCTTTCTACCTCCCATCCTCCTCTTCCTCCCCCTCCTCCTTATCGGCCATTGCTACCCTCTCCCTTCATTTTTCGTTTTTTCCCCTTGTTGTCCCCCCGCCATTATGCATTTAGTGGCAGTGCTACACGCCCGAACGACAGCGCTTTCCCAGATCGCTGAGCTTAATTGTTCATTGGTTCAGCAGTCGTTGTGCGTTTTAAAACCTCGCTTTTACGGGTCTGCTTCGGGGGTCTTATTGGCACAGCTGTTTCGGTTTTCGTTTTGGGGTCGTTGTGTTTGGAGGGTTTTTTTTTTTTTTTTAAGGGGGGGAGGGGGGGGTTACGTAGTGGTGGGGTTGGGGGTTACGTCATTGGTGGTTTTGGGATTACGTCAGGATACGTTCGGTGTTTGGGGGGATTACGTCATTTGCGGTTTTGGGAATACGTCATCGGTGGTTTTGGGGATTACGTTTGGGGGAATACGTCATTGGTTGTTTGGGGGATTACGTCATGTGGTTTTGGATTACGTCAGATTACGGTTTTGGGGATTACGTCATTGGTGGTTTTGGGGATTACGTCATTGGGTTTTGGTGATTACGTCATCGTGGTTTTGGGATACGTCATTGACGGTTTGGGGATTACGTCATTGGTGGTTTTGGGATTACGTCATTGGTGGTACGTCATGGTGGTTTTGGGGATTACGTCATTGGTGGTTTTGGGATTACGTCATTGGTGGTTTTGGGGATTACGTCATTGGTGGTTTTTTTATTACGTCATGGTGTTTGGGGATTACGTCATTGGTGGTTTGGGGGATTACGTCATTGGTGGTTTTGGGGGATTACGTCATTGGGGTTTTTGGTGATTACGTCATCGGTGGTTTTGGGGATTACGTCATTGGTGGTTTTGGGGAATTACGTCATTGGTGGTTTTGGTGATTACGTCATTGGTGGTTGGGATTACGTCATCGGTGGTTTTGGGGATTACGTCATTGGTGGGATTACGTCATGATGGTTTTGGGGATTACGTCATCCGTTTTGGGGAATTACGTCATCGTGGTTTGGGAATTACGTCATCATTACGTCATTGTGGTTTTGGGGGATTACGTCATTGGTGGTTTTGGGGAATTACGTCATCGGTGGTTTTAGGGATTACGTCATTTGTGATTCTGGGATTAGGTCATTTGTGATTTTGGATTACGTCATTGGTGTTTTAGGATTATGTCATCAGTGTTTGGGGATTACCTCATCATTATTTACGTCATCGATCACTTATTATCAATGTATCAAGCAACATCTCGCATTTCGTCTGATATCATCTATTAATAACCCTTTCGATCGTTATTCTGATTGTTATTATCCTTATGATTGTTACGGAAGTTGTTGCTTTTAGTTATTCCATTATCTTCTTTGATATTATTCTTATTTCTCTCATAATCGTAAACAGCACCTTTTTTACGATAATAGTTACTAAATAAATCTGGTTGTGCGCATTACGAAACTGTACGTTTTCGTTTCTAGAAATCTATGGGCGGATTTTAGTGTTTTCATCTTTGAAAACATTATCGTTTCTGTTTTGGGTATTAGGGTTAGTGTTTTGTTATTGTTGTTATTTTTATTATTAATATTATTGTAGTCGTTATCGTTGTTAGTCGTAGTGTTATTATTGTTATTATTATGAAAAATCCAAGTCAAAGTTCAGACATTTTCTTCCGTTTCATGAATTACTAAATATTTTTGCGATTATGGATGGTTTAAAAAGACTGAACATTATAGCTTTTATTGCTTTTCTGTGTCAGGAGCTGTGTGAGGCATCGAGGGATATGTGAATTTAGAGTATATATAGAGATATATGTTTGTGTTTGTTTGTTTGTGTGTTTGTGTGTGTGTGTGTGTGTGTGTGTGTGTGTGTGTGTGTGTGTGTGTGTGTGTGTGTGTGTGTTGTGTGTGTGTGTGTGTGTGTGTGTGTGTGTAGAGAGAGATCGGAGAAGGAAGGAAAAGGAGAGGAGAAAGAGAGAGAGAGAGAGAGAAATACAGAGACAGACAGAGACAGACAGACAGAAAGAGAGACAGACAATCAGGCCAACAAACAGACAGAGAGACAAAGCGAGGGACAGAGACAGGAATAGACTTAGACATAAAAAAAACATACAGATAGGCAGATACTCATATGAACAGACAGAACAAAAAAACAGAACCTCAACAGACAGACAGACAGACAGAGAGACAGACACAAGAAACGAAGAAAATCGTGAGCCAAGATGGTCTCCTCTCCCCCGAAAAAATCTCAAGAACTTTCCTCCAAAGCCTAAGTTTACCCTGGAGTTCTCTGTCTCATTTTTTTTTCTGGAGCTTTGAACTTTCACACTTTTTGAACGCGAGAGAACGCTGGACTGGCCATCCTTCTCAACTTCTGCCACCTGGTGACATAAAATGCTTGTACGTGGGGTCCTGTTCTGAAAAAAGGTGAGAGACAGGAGGAGGACGAGATAGATAGACAGGCTGTGATATAGAAAGAGGCTGAGAGGAAGAGGGAGATAATGAAAGGAGAGGAGAGAAGAGAGGGAGAGAGAGAGAGAAAGAGAGAGAGAGAGAGAGAGAGAGAGAGAGAGAGAGAGAGAGAGAAAACATTAGGACATAAAGAAAAACAGAAGCTAAGAGGATGAGGGAGAAAATGAAAGGGAGAGAGAGAGAGAGAAGAGAGAGGGAGAGAGAATTACATAAGGACAGAAAGAGAAAAGAAGAAAAAAGACAAAAAGACGGACAGACAGAAACAGAGAGAGAGAAAAAAAAACAGAAACAAAAAAACACGCAAAAAAAAAAAAAAAAAAAAAAAGAAAGAAAAAAAAAAAAAAACAGAGACCGACAACAAAACACAAGAAAATTTAAACGTCTGTAATCCAGGGGACTTTACAACTCTTTCCAGACGCAAACTGTAGACACAAAAACATTACGCTGATATTTGGCGCAAAGTTTCGCGCGGCTGCTTGGCTGTGATAAGAACGCTGCGAGGCGGGCTAAGCGGATGCAAGACAAACACAACCACACCCGAAGCCAAGAGTTCAAATAGATAGGGAGAGATAGGACACAAATGCAAGTCTATCCATTTTTTTTTTTTTTTTTTTTTTTTGGGGGGGGGAGGGGGACAAGAGGAAAAAATATGATCTCTACTTTTTTTTTTTTTTTTTTTTTGAGGGGGGGAGGGGACAAGAGGGAAAAATATATGATCTCTACTTGACATATTTATTCGTTTTTATTTATTTATTTGTTTGGTGTGGTTTGTCGGCTTTATTGATGGGTTTCTTCCGGTGGGTCGAACGATTGCGTCATCGGTGTTATGGTTTACGTCATAATTACGTCAGTTTCTGTGATTACGTCATCAATGGTTTTTTAATTACGTCATCGGGTGATTTTTGATAATTACGTCATCGGTTTTTCCTAATTATAATATTATTATTGCTATTATAATCACTTTTACTTTATTATCATTATCATTATTATTGTTTTTATTTTTTTATCATCATTCTTATCACTTTGATGTTCAATATTACTATTACTACTATTATTAGCATTACCACGATTGCTATTATTTTCATTATAAATGTCATCATAATTATTGTTATCATTATCAGTTATTATTATTATTATTATTATTATTATATTATTATCGTTATCATCATTATCATTACCGTTGCTGTTGCTATTGATATTATCATTGTTATTGTTATTATCATTATAATATTATGATTATTTTATACTCATCATCATTTATTATCACTTTATTATTATCATCATCATTTCATTATTATTAATTTATTCATCATCATCATCACACCAATCATCATCATCATTCATCATCATTCATCATCATCACCACCACCATCACCAACCAACACCACCATCACACCACCACCACCCAACCACCACCACCAACCGACCGACCCACCACCAAACCACCACCAACCAACCACCACCACCACCCCCAACCACCATCACCACCACCACCACCACCACCACCCCAACCAACCACCACCACCAACATCACACTTTCTCTCTCTCTCTCTCTCTCTTCCAGCGCCAGAGATCCGGCCAAGACGTCGTGGTCTTAATGAACGTATCTCGGGCGTCGGCAGGAAGGTACAAGTGTGAGGTCTTAGCCGATCACCCGAGTTTTGAGAAGGATTCTGAGATCGCCAACATGGAGGTTATAGGTGAGGGTCTGCTCGTTGTGTTGTTATTGTTTTGTTTGTTGTTGTTTGTTTGTTGTTGTTTAGTGTATTGTATTTGGTTTTCTAGGTTGTTGTTTTGGGGTAAGGGTATCGTTTCGGTTTTGGGTATTAGGGTTAGTGTTTTATTATTGTTGTTATTTTTATGATTAATACTATTGTAATCGTTATCGTTGTTAGTCGTAGTGTTATTATTGTTATTATTATCATTATTATCATTGTTGTTGTTGTCATTGTTGGTATAAGCGCCAAAGAAATATCAGATTTTTTTCCGGGGAAATATCTTATTTTTTTTCCTTTTTTTGTATTTATTTATTTATCTATTCTATTGAGGTACATTAGTCAAATATTTAGTTCTCATTTTTATGCTGGAATAGAGTGTAACATTTCTTATGACTTGTTATAGATATCACATATAAGGATTTGAATATTTTTTGTATGATGCTTTGGTACTTTAAGCTATCCCGTAGATAAAGTTACAATTTATTCTTGCTGATTAATCTTTATAATGACTTGATAGAGATGGTGTTGTAATACATTATTTCATCGTGTTAATTTGAATTGCCAATGCATGAAGTGGTGGTATTGATCAAAATCAAAAGAGAATGATGATTAACATAATAATGATGCTAATTACAACAGCCGCAACAGCAATGAAATTAGCACCACCAATAATAATAATAATATAATATTAATAATAGCAATAACAGATTACCGAAATAAAGAGATAGAAATAAAGAAAATAAAGAAAAATAGAAGAAGCAGGAGAGAAAGAAGATAAGAAAGAAGAAAACACATATAGATGCCTAGCCCCCCCCCCCGCCACCTAAAAAAGTCTACCTACATATCTACCTACATAGATCTACAAGGCATGTAAACGCCACTTCAAGCCCACCCCGGCCTATACCCTAGCCCCATAGCCTTTTAGACCCCCACCCCCACACCAAGCCCACAGTTCGGTTTAAAGTCCGCCCTAAGCACACCTTAAAACCCACCCCATACCCACCTCTGCCCCCACACCCACCTCAAACCCACCCCAGACCCTCCTCACCCCCACAGCCCACCCAACCCACCTCTGCCCCCACAGCCCACCTCAAACCCACCCCAGACCCTCACCCCACCACAGTTCACCTCAAACCCACCCCCCACCTTGCCTCCCCACCCAGCCCTACCCCCAAACCCGAAAAACGCACTTCAGCATCACCCCACACTCCCCCTAGACATACAACCCTACCTCAAAACCCACCCCAGACCCACCCTCCACACCACCCCCCCCATACAAACCCACAAACACCATAAACCCCCCCCCCCCACCCCCTCGAAACCCATCCACACCCCCAACATCCATTTCTCGTCGCGGCCAAAATCCCGACATTTTAGTTTTTCGTGCCTGGATAATCCCCCAATGGGAAATTATGTTTCATTACCCTTGACAGCGTGGTGTTGATAAAGACATAAAGCCACCGTCCTCGTGGTAATGGGCGTGTGTCTCCTGTGATATAATGGGCGTGATCGTTTACTTGTGCTAATGGGCGAGGAGGGGGGGGGAGGTATGATAATGGTTCAGAAAGGGTTGACTGTTAGTTATGGAGAACAATGGGGGGCTTATCGGACCGGGTTGGGAGGGTGGGTTTTATTTGTGTGTGTTTTCGTGTTCGGTTTTGGTGTTCTTTCGTTTTTTTTTTTTTTTTTTTTTTTTTGTCTTTTTCATTTTTTCATGTTTTTTTTATTATTAATTTTCCTTTTTTTTTTTTTTTTTGTTGAGATTCTATTTTTAGATCTTATTTCATTGTTCTTTTTCTTTCTTTTTTTTTTACTTTTTTCACCTTTTTTTCTTTTCTTTTTTTTTTTTTTTTTTGGCTATTTTGTTGTTGTTTGCTGTTCTTTGTTTTTGCTTTGTTAAATCGCCATATCATTTGCGGCACGGCTGGATTAAGGATTACGGATTCCTGTACGTGAATTTTGCCATTGCACCTTTTTTCTTTTTGTTTTTAATTCCGTAGAAAGATTTTTTTTTTTTTTTTTTTTTTTTGTTGCCTTCTTCCAGTAGATTACGTTACAGGTTATGCAACCCCTTTTCTGTTAGTCTGTCCGGATGTCTGTCTGTCTGCTGTATGTCTGTTAGTGTCTGTCTGTTTGTTTGTCTGTTTTTCTGCCTGTTTATCTGTCTATCTGTCTGTCTCTTTCTCTCTCTCTATCTATCTATTTACCCTATATATATATATATATATATATATATATATATATATATATATATATATATATATATATTATATATATCAGTGGTTCCCAAACTTTTTCTGTCGTTACCCACTTTTCATACAGGATACGTGTCCATGGCCCACCGCTAGGCATAACCCATAACTACAGTGACTACAATACTACACTGATTCGGCCAGTTTGTTAGAATTGTGCGAGGCCCGACCCAAAGAATATTCGTATACTTGACATGCTTGAGTAAAGAAATGAATACATATTTATCAGTCTAAACATTGCATATCAACTCGGTAAAAATGGTTATTTGTAAATCTATCAGATATATAGATATGCCTTTATTTCTGCATCTGTGGTTTAAAAAATTCAATGGGTCGGGCCTGGCATAATTTTAACAAACCGGCTGATTAGGTCCATATATAAACCACTCTAGCAATTCCTGTAATCTTATTGATTCCGTGCAAGTTTTTAGTCCTTTTGTGAAGTAGTTATAAAGATGTTTTTGTGATATTAAAGAAATGTAATAATATAGTGCACAAGAACCCCCCCCCCCCCTGCATTCTGCTATATGACCCCCCAGGGGACCAAGACCCACACACACACACACACACACACACACACACACACACACACACAACACACACACACACACACACACACACACACACACACACACACACACACACACACACACACACACAACACACACACGAGAACCACTGATCTATATCTATCTTTCCATCTCTCTCTCTCTCTTCGCCTCTTATCCTCCCTCTCTCCACATCCATAAATCAATCTCTATTGGCTAGAATAACCTCCCTTTTGCCCTCCGAATCTCACCCGTTGGGAAACAAAATAGTCTGTCCTGTCGCCCCCTTTCCACCGTGCAACAGCATCCCTCGCATTCCATCAAAAAAGTTATTCTCTCTTTTGTGTAACTATAAACCATCATATTCGCTCGTCGGCCCGGTCGAATCGCCCTTCCTTTCATCCAGTGACATCAGCTTATACCATCAGCCAATACCAATGTTGCCATAACGAAGGCTAGGTAACGACGTCCTTCTCTCACCGTTGCCTTTTTTTTTTTTTTTTTTTTTTTTTAGACTTTTGCGTTTGTTGGGTTTTATGTCTAACGCGCGATGCCATTGCTCTTTCTCGGTTGCCATGGGGAGCTCGTGTGGCCTTCGTAAATACGTGAGTTGGGGGAGAGAGAGGAGAGAGAGAGAGAGAGAGAGAGAGAGAGAGAGAGAGAGAGGAGAGAGAGAGAGAGAGAGAGAGAGAGAGAGAGAGGAGAGAGAGGGAGAGAGAAGAGAGAGAGGAGAGAGAGAGAGAGAGAGAGAGAGAGAGAGAGAGAGGAGAGAGAGGAGAGAGAGGGGGGGGGTGAGAGAGAAAATGAGAGCGAGAGAGGAGAGAGAGAAGAGAGAGAGAGAAAGAGCAGAGAGAGAGAGAGAGAGAGAGAGAGAGAAGAGAGAGAGAGAGAGAGAGAGAAGAGAGAGAGAGAGAGAGAGAGAAGAGAGACAGAGACAGAGACAGAAAGAGAGAGACAGAGACAGAGAGAGAGAGAAAATGAGAGCGAGAGACAGAGACACAGAGACACAGAGAAAGAGAGAGAGACCTACTATCAGGCAAACATACACAATAAATCGCTACATGACAAACAAACAAAAAACAAACAGCTAACCACACGAGCACGTAGACACAAAAACCCACGGCGCGAACTGCTTATCGGTCTATCACCATCAACTCACCCCCCCCCCCCCCCACCTTCCCTGTGGTAACCTCCTCAATCCTATGAAATGACGTTTCGGAACTTTCCTCATCGGAGAGAGGACGAACGCTTATAAAAACCTCTTTTTCTTTTTCTTTTCTTAAATTATTTTTTTTTCTCGTGTCTTTTGTTCTTTATTTCTTTTCTTTTTTTCTTTTTTATTTCTTTTTTTCGCTTCTCTTCTTTTCTTCTTTTTTTAAATTATTTTTCTTCCTCGTGTCTTCTCTTCTTTTCTTCTTTTTTTTAATTCTTTTCTTCCTCGCTTCTCTTTTTTCTATTATTTTCTTTTTTCATTCTTCTTTTGTTAATTTTTCTTTTTTTTCTTTTTTTTTTTCTTTTTCTTCTTCGCTTCTCTTCTTTTCTTCTTTTTTCTTTTTTATTCTTTTTCTTTTTTAATCTTATTTTTCTTTTTTAATTCTTTTTCTTCCTCGCTTTCATCTTTTCTTCTTCTTCTTTCATTTCATTATTTTTCTTTTTTAATTCTTTTTCTTTTAATCCTTTTTCTTCCTCGCTTCTCTTCTTTTCTTCCTTTTAAAATTCTTTTTCTTCCTCGCTTCTTCTCCTTTCTTTTCTCTTTCTTTTTAAATTCTCTTTCTTCCTCGCTTCTCTTCTTTCTTCTTCTTTTTCTTTTTTAATTCTTTTTCTTTTTTTAATTCTTTTTCTTCCTCGCTTCTCTTCTTTCTTCTTTTTCTTTTTTTAAACTCTTTTCTTTCTTAATTATTTTCTTTTTTAAATTCTTATTCTTCCTCGTTTTCTTCTTTCTCTTGTTTTTTATTCTTTTCTTTTTTAATTCTTTATCTTTAATCCTTTTTCTTTTTTTTCTTCCTCGCTTCTTTCTTCTTCCTTTTAAAATTCTTTTTTTTCTAGCTTCTC